CGACTCCGGCGAATACTTCCCACCATCCAAATCTACCGCGGCTGCTTCCCCTTCCCCTCGTTGCAGAGATACAACACTAAGTATGGGGCCACAATCGAATGGTGTTCTCTTCAAAACGGGGTCAGGAATAGGCAATAGGAGCGCAAACCGTGTTCTTTCTGCTTCAGAATATCAGATCGATGACACCTGTTGACGATGAAACTAATATGACGAGAGTGAAATTTTCCTTTCTTGTCATGATCAGTCTTGTCATTCTTGCATTGATGGGTTCTGTAGTATACGACAACTTCAACAAAGTTGCAGATGTAGATGATGGCAATTGAACGTAGTGGTTATCATCAAAGCAGCCGAGAGATTTTGATGGTGTGAGAGAGAGTCAATCGGCCTCGAGGCACAGATACAGCTTCCACCTTTTAAGGCACTCCGTACTGTATCTGAGTCCTTACCTAGGTAGCTCAAGGTACTTGGGGCCTCTTGCTGTTCCTGTTAGTTGCTCCGTACCTAGCTAAGGATCCTAGGATCCTACCTTAGACTGTTAGAGTGCTAGACCGAGCTGTGTCCCTCCTCCTCCACTTCTCCCGCCCGCCCACATTGGCTGGCTCGACCATCACTCCCGTCCTCTTTCATTCACGGACACTGTTCTGATTGCCTTAGCTAGCCTTTCACCGCACACCACGATACCATACCTACTCTTTCTCCCTCTCTCTCTCTCTCGAGATCTGGTGGCTGTCCTTCTCCCCATCAACTTACTGTTCTCCATCTCCAAAATAATTATTTCCATTCTCATTTTGTCTTGACCTTCCCCTCCACCCACTACCTCTGTCCCATTCACCAACATCCATCATTATCTAGATTGTGCCATCTCCATTTCGTCTCCTTTTTGACGATCCTCACCGCGATTTCCTCCCTATCTATTATACTTTTACGCACCCTCGCTCCTCATCGCCGTTCTTGAGCCTGAGGATCAGCTGGAGCACTTTTTTGACGCTCTCGCTCTCAAAAGATCGTTTCTATATCTACAGTTTGCAATATGGTTGTAGCTACAATTAAGTACGTTAAATCGTACCCATTTCTTCACTTATGTCTTCGTCATCACCTCCCCTTCCTTTTCCCCTCCTTCTACTTTCCCCCTTGTCCTTTCTGGGTAGTATCTCGAGTGGACAGTCAAAGTATCCCTGTGAATCAGTCAAATGCTAACAAGGTTCTTTTCATTATCTACAGATGTGTCGTCGTTGGTGATGGTGCTGTGGGAAAGACATGCCTTCTTATCTCGTATACAACAAACAAGTTCCCCTCAGAATATGTCCCCACCGTCTTTGACAACTATGCGGTTACTGTCATGTAAGTGACATCTAACTCTCGATTCACTGTTGATAATGCACCCTTGCGATATATAAAACCTCGTCCTTTCATTCTGCGCCCACGCCTCCCTATAGTCAAGATTAGCACTGTGGGGGAAGCGGCTTCGTCATTTCTTTCAGCACCCAAAAAAGCTATCATCAACTAACTCGGATTCGCCTGCTATAGGATAGGTGATGAGCCTTATACCTTGGGACTGTTCGATACCGCCGGTCAGGAGGATTATGACCGTCTCCGCCCCCTTTCCTACCCTCAGACAGATGTCTTCCTCGTCTGCTTCTCAGTGACCTCTCCTGCCTCGTTCGAAAACGTCCGCGAGAAGTGGTTTCCCGAGGTGCACCACCACTGCCCCGGTGTGCCCTGTTTGATCGTCGGTACCCAAGTTGATCTTCGGGATGACCCTGCCGTTCGCGAGAAGCTCGCCCGTCAGAAGATGCAACCCATCCGCAAGGAAGATGGCGATCGTTTGGCGAAGGAGCTGCGTGCTGTAAAATACGTCGAGTGCTCCGCTTTGACCCAGTACAAGCTTAAGGATGTCTTTGATGAGGTTTGTATCGGCTGCGATACCAATCGGATAAGTCATATCGGACACTGACTCGGATTTCCAACCATAGGCAATTGTTGCGGCTCTGGAGCCCGCCCCGAAGAAGAAGTCCAGATGCCCCTTGTTGTAAAATCTTCCATCCAAAACTTCTGTACATCAAGGCGATTCAGGTCGGTCCACTCCGGAAGAAGCCTCTTCTCATTGAGGGTATTGTCCCATTGACGCCAGCCTCATCAGAGATATTACGCGATTCAGATTTTATCGAAGAGTGCCACAGGTTTATGGAGTTTCGGAAGCATGCTTTCCCAGCTACAGGGTCACTGCTTACTCGATCAACGTCTCACTGTAATCTCTCGAGCTCTTCTTTACGCGGTACCGCTTTCATCGAAACAATGATGCATTCCTATCCCCAGCTTGGCCATTTCACACGATACTTTTGATTCCTTGAATCTTCGCCCTTGTGCCGATCATCAATACGCAATGTTATATCCTCTTGCCGCAAGCTAACGCCTTTCTCTTCTACTTGCTCACTGCGACGGGTTGATCTCTCTTTCTCTGCTCTATTTGTCCCCTACCTTTTCTCAATTCCCGTGCTCTTCATCCTGCTTCATCAAACCATTCTTGATCCTCGATTTTCATTACCCCAGGTTCCGATCAACCTCTCATCGTCTCTATCGGCGTTGGAAGTCAGGGCGTCGTTGTTTTGGCTGGCTGATGATTCTAATCTGTTTTCAGATTTTTTTTCTCTTTTCCTGTTTCTTATCTTGCTGCGTGATCTGTCGCTTCTTGTCACCAAATATTCCCTCCTACTTCGGCTACATGCTTTGACCCTCTTCATGACGCTTTATTATGATTTTCGCAAGACACATGGAACTAGAGCAGTACAGAACGACAGATACAATTAAGCAAATGACATGAGCTGGATAAATTCCCTTGCGCTGCATTGCTCTACTCGGCCTTTGCATTCACGGATTGGCTTGGTCGACTTGTACGTGGGAATAGATTTTTTCCTATGCCTAACTGGTATGCCGTAGGTTGGGAGCTACCGGAGCGAGCGAAGAGCAAGTGAAATAGAGTCGTTAACTTCATTCAATTGTTTCATGCGATCAAGATGCAGCTCTATGTACTTCTATTCTCGTGCGGAATTGCTGGACTGGCGATCGTCCCCTCAGCCACACTGTCAGAGGTGCATTCTAATCGTTATAATTCGTCCTTTGTCTCTTCCTTGACAATCTCCTCGGCAGATACCTGACCATCAGCCTTGCGTCCGTACCAACCGCCGAGATCCTCGCCCGCGCCGGCCTTGACGATACTGGTGATAATCTCAAAGGCGACCTGCGCCGCTGCCAGAGCGGTGGTCTCGCCCTTGTTGTCGTAGCTGGGGGATACCTCGACGATATCCGCGCCGACGATGTTCAGCTTCTCGATGCCGCGCAGGATGCGGATGAATTCGCGGGTGGTCCAACCGCCCGGCTCCGGGGTGCCTGTTCCCGGCGCGGTGGAGGGGTCCAGCACATCGATGTCGACGGACAAGTAAACGGGCTGTTCCGGGTCGAGGCCAATGCGCTCGATGATCTTGTCCACGATGCCCATGGGGCCGAGCTCGTCGATGTCATCGGCGTGGATGCGCATGAACCCTTGCTCGGGCGTATTGGGGGCGGTGTAGTCGCTGTCGTCGACGCCCGTGAGCCGGGTGCGCAGACCGGCGTGGGCGGAAGTCGAGTTGCAAATCAGGCCCTCGCGGCTCGCCTTGTGGAAAAAGCTGCCGTGGTTGAAGTGCGACTGTTCCGACGTCCAGTAGGCCGAGTACCGGATCGGATTCCAGGTGTCAAGGTGCGCGTCAAAGTGCAGCACCGTGATGGGCTTCTGGTAGATCTGGTACAGGGCGCGCAGAGCCGGCAGCGCGACGCTGTGGTCGCCGCCCAGCGTCACCAGTTTCGCCTTGCCGGCGGAGATGCCCTTGGCGCCGTACTTGGAGTCCGCGGGCGTCACGGCCGGCCGGGACCCGAGTTCCAGGAAGGCTTCGTACATCTGGCGCTCGGCCAGGCCGTTGTCGAAGGGGGTGATGGGGATGTCGCCGCAGTCCTTGACTGTCGCCCAGGAGCTGTACGGGTTGATGCCTGCGCGCGTGTTGTAGCTGGTGCCGGCCATCTGGCGGGCGCTGGCGGCGCGAATCGCACGCGGACCGAAGCGGGCGCCTGCGGTGATATTATTAGGATGACTCTGCCAGTCGCATACGAAATGGATAGCAACGTACCAGGTCTGTAGCTGACGGCTGTATCGAAGGGCGCGCCGATTACGGCGATATCGTACCGCTCATCGGGCTCGACCAGACACTTGACGGGCTTCAAGTGGGCGAAGGTGGCAATGCCGGAAAATGTAAACTAGATACAATGAGCATCGTATACATCTGTGCGTAGGTAACTCTACAATATCCCTCATACCTCCTGGTCCCATTTCTTCAGCAATTCTTCCCGCAAACTCTCGGGTACAACTTCGGCATCGTCGTGATGACCGTGAGCCAGGGCCGTCCCCGCCAAAGCCAGCAGGCTGACCAGAGTAGTCTTCATAATGGTATATTAGAGAAGCGCAGAAGACTCCTAGTTGCAATGGCAAGAGAAGAAGAGGGATGCGACAAGAGAGACTGGGCTCTTAATATGTTCTCGATTCTGTAGCAAACCGGGGCGCTCTCGGCGATTCCATCGAATCATGGAGAATCACAATGCTCCTATCTTTCGAATATCATTCAACTGTCAAATATGATATATTAACCTGGCAACAAATCAGAATCAATCCTGTGGCACTTTTTCCCATCATTCGCAGCCCCGCTATGCTGTTGTTAAGAATTGGAGTCCCTGCCCATGGACCAGAGAAAAAGTGGGCGGCAACTTTCTGATGGATGTCGTGCAGACTTTCCTTTCTGGTCCGTCCCAGAACTCTCAGTGACCGTTGCTTAGACGCTGGTCATTATTGGCTGATTCGGAGATAATTCCACTTTGAACTTCATAGAGGAAGTATCATAGGTCGATAGTTATCTATCTCTTGAACAAGTTCTACAGTCGTTTGTTTGTCTCCTTCGGCCGCCTATCAGTATGCCATGCGTCGTGTTGTTGTAACGGGTTTAGGCGCAGTCACACCTCTGGGTGTAGGTGAGTCGATACCATCCACCCCTTTGATTCTTTTCGATTTCCTACATGCCAGTACATTTTTGCACCTGCACTAGATCATCTTGACATCCCTGCTGGGGAGTCTACCTCGTCGCGTTGTTCTGATTTCTCTCTTCCTCGGCATCCATCAACTGGGCGGGTTTCCATTCCCCACTCCTCCGATTGTCCAGAAGGGGAAGGTCTTTGCATTCGACCAAAATCGGAACTTTGCGCCGAATGGCTTTGCTAATCTTGTCGCTTTATTCTTGTTTCGATGTATAGGGGTCCGTCGCACCTGGACACGCCTGCTGGATGGTCATTGCGGTATTGTCAATGTGAAGCATCGCGATGCTCGGTTCGCGGACTTGCCTTGTCAGATCGCCGCTGTGGTACCTGCGGGCTCCCGGCAGGAGGGCGGTTGGACAGCTTCGGAATGGCTAAGCAGAGATGTAGGTGATAACTGTTGTCTCTTCCTGGCAGGATTGGAGTATTTGTGCTGAGGGTTATGGGCTTGGTTTGGCAGGACGAGCGGAAGATGGCTCGGTTCGCTCAGTATGCCATGGCTGCCTCCGAGGAAGCGCTGGAAGATGCCGGTTGGAAGCCTACGTCGTTCGAGGAGAGGGAAGCTACGGTGCGTGACGGTTGATGCGGTACTTAGTCGAAGCGCCGCGCCTGATGATGCGTCTAGGGTATCTGTCTGGGTTCCGGGATTGGGAACTTTGATGAGATCTATGACACGGTCGTGGCATATGACAAGGGGGTTGGTCCTTCCGCTCATGATTCCGAAGCGTCGTCATTGTTGATAATGTCTTGTGCAGGGGTACAGAAAGGTATCTCCATTGTTTGTCCCAAAGCTCCTGATCAATTTGGGCGCTGGTCATCTCTCTATGAGATATGGGTTTATGGTAAGTGCTTGCCACTGAATCAATCACAATGAGACACTTATTTGGGCAGGGCCCCAATCATGCCGTCACAACGGCCTGCACGACCGGAGCGCATTCGATTGGCGATGCAGCTCGTTTTATCACGTGTGGTGATGCGGATGTGATGCTCGCTGGCGGTGCGGAGTCATGCATTCATCCATTGGCCATTGGCGGCTTTGCTCGAGCCAGAAGCCTCGCCACCGATTTTAATGACGCCCCGGAAAAGGCATCGAGACCCTTTGATGCAGACCGGAAAGGATTTGTGGTTGGTGAAGGAGCGGCCATGCTAGTGCTAGAGGTGGGTGGCCTCTTCGACGACATCAACTGGTGCTGACTAGAGCCCTTTTTTCTGTCCGTTAGGAATTGGAGCATGCAAAGGCCAGAGGTGCTCGCATTTACGCAGAGCTGAAAGGCTACGGCTGCTCCGGCGATGCCCACCATATGACAGCGCCTAAGGAAAATGGCGAGGGGGCATGGATGGCGATGAAGAAGGCTCTAAAAAATGCAAAACTCCCACCGTCTGCTGTCGACTATGTCAATGCACACGCTACGTCGACTGTGGTTGGGGATGCTGCGGAAAATGCAGCAATAAAGTCTCTCCTTCTCGGCCCTGGAGGGAAGCAGAACGCGGCTGAGATCAATGTCAGCAGCACAAAGGGGGCTGTAGGTCATTTACTCGGTGGCGCTGGTGCTCTGGAGTCGTTATTCACAGTTCTTGCTATCAATGAGGTGTGTTCTGGAGCCATAAGTCGAGATGAATGTGCTATACTGATTGTTGATATCGTTAGAATGTGATGCCACCGACCATCAACTTGGACCGTCTGGCGGAAGGCTTTGACTGCAACTACGCTCCCAACCAGGCACAAGAGCGTCAGATCACAGTAGCACTAACAAACAGCTTTGGATTTGGAGGCACGAATAGCAGTCTGTGTTTCTCGAAGCATGGATTATGAGGCACATTCTGTTTCGAGGTCAGATCCCAGTTACAACACTGGATACATTGAACGCCTTTCACATTTCTATCTTGTATAGTAGAAGCATATGTACAATATCAATCTCTTTGAGAATAACGCTCCTCCAAGGGCTTGGCTTTCAATAGCTATTAGCACTATTCTGAATAGACGTGATTTGTATTGTTCCCCTCTGCTTATCTTACACTGATATCCTCACGTGACCGTCCCATGCGGAGGCGCCCGATTCGAAGTGTCGAGTGAACTGATCAATTCCGGAGCCAGACAGCCAAACCCGCCGCAGCACTTGAATTCATCAACACATTTATCGTCCACTTTCTGCTCATCAGACGGTCGGAATTTCCATCACTGGCTTGATCGGGCTGTTCATCGCACTCGAGTTACGAACCAACCTTTTGTACGCGCTCGATCATGGGTACTAACGGTGATTCTGGTCGAGGTACGTGGGCACAATGTCACGAGATACTGGTGTTGGGGTGATGCACGCTAATTGGTGGTATTCCCGTGCACAGCGTCGTCGGTCGCTTCGAACTCGGGCAGCTTGGTGGACGCATCGGGGTACAAGTACTCCGAGAAAGATGCGAAACCTACGAAAATCAAATTGAAGAAGGCGGCCAAGTCGGCCAAGGCGAAGAAGGCTGCTGCGGGTAGGTCTTTGCTGGATAACGCTGGGATACAATCTATCGGGGCACACGGGATGAAAGGGGGCTAATGTCAAACCTGTCTACTGTAGAAGTGCCCGAATCGCCCGGCTCGTCGCCCATACTCCCGGAGATCGATGAAAAGACCATGGCTGCCTTCCCAACGGGCAAGCCCCGTGGGGAAGACAATTTGGAGACGGTGATATGCAAGACGTGCAAGAGGCCGGTCCTCAAACAGAATGCGGTAGAGCATATCCGCGGCTGTATCCGGGCGAAGCAGGAGAAGGCGCGGCGGAAGAAAGAGGCGCGCGATGCGGCGAACCGGGCCAAAGAGAAGGATAAGGATGGGGATGACGACGCCGCGGGCGGCGACAAGGACGGGGATGATTCGATCAAGGCACAGAAGGGCGCGAAGAAGAGCGCCGTCAAGGGCATGGCGGAGGACGGGACGAAGAAAGGCAAGAAGCGCAAGACCGAGGGCGAGGAGGATAAGGAGCCCAAGAAGAAAAAGAAGAAGGAAGAGCCTAAGCCCAAGGCGCCGAAGCCAAAGGGTCCCGTCGATGTTGAGAAACAGTGTGGTGTCATTCTGCCGAATGGGGCTCAGTGTGCGCGTTCGTTGACGTGCAAGAGTCACTCGATGGGTGCGAAGCGTGCGGTGCCCGGCCGTTCTTTGCCCTATGACATGCTCCTCCAGGCGTATCAGAAGAAGAACCAGGCCCGTCAGCAGAGTGAGTGTCTTCGTTTATTGTCGTTCTTCACGTTCACTGTGGAGTACGGAGAGCTGACTGTTATGTCTTCTATCGTGCAGAGGCGGCCATCGACGCGAATGCTCCGCTACAGGATGATCTGGAAAACAACGGTCCCGTCGACTCAGACGAGGAGAAAGACGCCGTCATGGCGGCGATTCTTCGCTCGCGCCCACAACCCCTGGTCACTCATCCATTGATCTCGACCAAGAAGAAATACAAGTACGTGCGAATCAAGGAGATGCTTTCTCATGCCTTGGGCGGAGCTCGCGGCGGCGGACTCTTCTCGACCAGCGATACCACTCCAACAAACGATGGGAATCCGTTTCGGCCCGTGGACGATGTTCCCCTAGCATCCCCTGTCTCCTTGACGGGATCGGATAACGCACCGGATACAGCGAAGAAGACCCCTGCGCCGGCTCCAAAGAAGCTACCCCTGGCCGCCTCTTCGTAATTTGTATTTCTGTGCTTCGTCCCAGCTGGTCTTGGGTGATGACCGTCTTCTTCTTGTCTTCTTCCCTAATATCTCTTTCTTGGCATGCGGCTGGCGAGTGTGATGGCGTTTAATGGAGGTTCATGGATGAGATTATTCCGGTCTGGAGCTGTTCGGTTGTGATGAAATKATACCCCTAAGTCTATTGTACACGGCATATGGAGGCTTCCTGTCTCAAGTTGAGTTGTAACGACGTCGATTCTTGTTCTCTTCTTCACTTTATAGAAACATTCAAAGGACATATTACCTAGTTACACACGCAATGTTGAGGGCAAAATCAAAATCTGCAGGTTACTATTTGATGCTATATAGAGCTATCTGACCCTAAATTATGAAAGGTGCTCTTTTGAGTCGAAGCTGGTGAAGCAATCTGTATACTTCAGTTGGAGTTCTGCCTCAGGCCACCATTGGTACCTCCGCAAGGCCGCCAGGATCAAAGAATGAACTTCATTCTGCCATGGATGCGCCTCACTGTCAATCTGGATGAAATGACCGCAATCTGATTCGACTTTCCCTACCCAACTGCAGCGCTGCGATTAAGGATTGCGCACACCTTTCGCTTTATGCGCCTCCGGGCGAGAGCTCACCTGTCGCTCCAGCTACACTCCCTTTCGGCTCATCCCTCCCTCCACGCGCTGTCAAAGCCACCGTCACCCCTCCGTCGAAAATGGGCAACCCATCCGTTCCCGACCTCGATGCTGTAGGCATCAAAGCCGAGCCCGAACTGGCGGATCAGTTCCGCCGCGAGGTCGCCGCCTTGTTAGGGCGCAATAACCTCAATTTCCCCGGCGCGCAGCCGGTCAGTTTTGCGAAGCGGCATCTCCTCGAGCTCCAACGGGAAGACTACTATGTGTGCGAGAAAACGGACGGCATCCGATGTCTTATGTACTTTGCACGTGGTGAAGAGGACTCGCCAGTACCAGAGATTCACTACCTGATCGACCGCAAGAATGACTACCGCTACGTGCCGGGCCTGCACTTCCCCCAGCCGGACGACGAGACGTTCCAGTCCTTCCACGTCGACACCCTGATCGACGGCGAGCTGGTCAACGACACGTACGAGGATGGCACGCAGCAGCTCAAGTTCCTCGTGTTCGACTGTTTAGTTCTGGACGGGCAGAAGCTCATGCACCGGACGCTGGACAAGCGGCTGGCATATTTCAAGGAGAAGGTGCTCAAGCCGTACAACGCGCTCTATAAGAAATTCCCGGAAGAAAAAAAGCACCGCGCGTTCGCGGTCGAGGACAAATCCACGCAGTTCAGCTACGGCATCGAGATGATGTTCCGCGAGATCATCCCCAAAGTCAAGAAGATCCACGGCAACGACGGCCTCATCTTCACCTGCCGCAGTACCCCCTACCGCATCGGCACGGACGAGTACATCCTCAAATGGAAGCCCCCCTCTGAGAACACCATCGACTTCCGCCTGCGTCTCGAGTTCCCCCTCCTCGAACCGGACACGGACGACGAGGCCGACGGCATCACCGAGCCCTACCCGGACTACGATGTCATCCCCATCTGCCATCTGTTTGTCATGCTCAACGCCAACGAATACCAGTCCTGGGGTGAGATGTACGTCACCGAGTCGGACTGGGAGGCCCTCAAGGCCCTGCAGGCCCCGCTGGACGACTCGATCGTCGAATGCTTCAAGGACGAGCAAGGGAGATGGCGGTTCCATCGGCTCCGCGACGACAAGGCCGACGCCAATCACATCTCGACCGTCGAGAAGGTGCTTGAGAGTATCGAAGACCGCGTCACCGAGGAGGATCTCATCCGCGTCGCGCCGGCAATCAAAGCCTCCTGGAAGAAACGGCAGGCCCAGGCCGCTACGGAGGAGGAAGAACGCAGACGGCGTGCGAGACAGATGCCACCCGGCGCGAATGGAAATGGGGTCAAGAGGAAATTCGAGGAGTAGACTGATCCTCGTCAAAAAAGCAAAAATAGCTCAAGGCTGGCTGCTTAGTCTTCTGGCCTTTGTACTTATTTTACTCGCATCGATTTGGTTTGCAAGGCGTCTGGCGTTTAGTATCTGCGAATATTGCAGAGCATGGAAGAGGAGCAAGGAAGGAAGGCAGTCGCTGCGGGTTTTGGGGCTCAGCATGTGTATCAACTTTCTCTTTAGAATTTGCAATGTCGAAAGGGTTTGGTTCGGCCACTTTGCAATTCCCTACAGACTCGAGTAATACGTAGGCGCTGCTCTACTGGCTCTACGCGTTATTGGGGCTCTTGTACATATCTCTGCGTTCATTGATGTACGAGACAAGAAGAAAAGAAAATGCTCTCATATTATGACAAGGCAAAAAAGGTATTCATCGCTTCTTGATGCTGACATCAAGGTTTCCGATGAGCCACGCGGTAACGAAGACAGCGAACATTCCAGCAGTGATGGTGAAGGGCTTGCGCAGGCCGTCCCAGAAGGAGTAATCGTAAGTAACCTAACGTTTTGTCAGCATGTCAGAAGGTTCGTAGAGACGACTATGGGTTAAACTGACCACTATCTGCGAATCGCGAGCCTCGTCCGAGAGATTCTCGACCGTCAGGGTCAATACTGTGCGGCCCAATGTGTCCATGTAGGTCTTTTGCTTGGAAATGTGAGATTGGATCTGGCTCGAGCCAGGGAGGCCATTGCTGGAAGCTCCCTCCAGAACCTGATACCGGACGTTTCGGGCGCCCTCGGGGAGGATCACTCTGACAACGGCCTTCTCGTACTGAGCTCCCTCAGGCACCTTGAATCCCTCGATGAAAGGAACTTTCAGGACATAGGAGTCGGCGCCGTTAGCTGCCTTACGTAGATAAGTGGATAGCTCATCATTCCAGCCAATGCGGAAGCTGTAATTCCAGCCACCAAAGATCGGGAAACGTGGACGAAGCTCCAGAGACCCTTCCCGCTTGGGGGGATTTCCAGGCCGGTAGCGGCTCGTAGAAACGTTGCCAATGTCATCGATGAAGTACGGATCGACCGATCCAGGCTTGAGAGGATACTTGAGTTCACGGACCGCCGAGGACGGCAACTGCTGGTAGTTGGTCAAAGTCCACTCCACGCGAGAGAATTGCTTCGAGAGCATGGAGCCATTGTTGCGAAGCCAGTACCGCTCCTCCGTCGCCAGGTTTCCACCCCAGTGGGAGACCTCCAGGTCCCGCTCCAACAATGACGCGGTGATCACAGGTCTGGTGAATTCGTAGCGCACAGTGATAGGGTAGGTGTTTCCTGGAGCAACCTTGGCCGTATCGTAGGGACCATAAGTGTAGGTGGTGCCTTGACGCTCGGGATCGGAACCAGACCTCAAGCCGGAAGTGGTTGTGTAGTCGGGCACATTGGTGTTGGGGAATTTAACCTTGGTCTTCTGAGTCATCGTTTGATATGCAGACGGAGTATAAGCAGAGAAAGAATAAGTGAGATACTGCTTGTCAGCTTGGCCGATGGCGGCCGGGCGTGGAGTGAGAGAGTTGAGGACGAAGTATGAGATTCCCAATGTGATTTGAGAGGACGGCGCAAGCGGCTCGGGGAAGTGAACGACAAAGTACTGGTAGTCGCTGCGAGGAACCAAAGGTTAGCTTTCTGCAATATCCGAATAGCAGGTCCCGAAGCAGAGAATCTCCGATGAAGCAACCGTGGCGTCGGCATTACCACGATCAAACAGACCCATTGGCAATCAATTGCATACACACCTTGGTGACTCGACTTCCAAAGCTTCAACGTCAAATCTGCCCTTCTCTGGTGCCTTCTTGTCCCTCACTTCCAATCCCCCAACCTTGCCAAAGACGTCCGATGGGAACGGTATGTAGTAGTCGCTCTGCGGTTGTTTATCGACATTTTCAACAACAACATTGACGGTTTCTCGAACATATCCCTTCTCCAAATTGGTATTCCGGACCAGATTCACATTTTTGAATACCTCCTGCGGCTTGAAGTCTGCGGGTAAAGCGACTCGCGAGCTGGTCGAGGAGTCGGCGCATACTAAGCTGCTTGAGAACAGCAGCCCGCAAAGCGCAGTGACTGCGGTAAATGGCCTCATTGTGACTATGGGCGGTCTTGTTGAGCAGACCGCGCCGCTGTGCACAATCTATCTCACCTGGAGATGTCGAGAGAAGCACAGAAAGATGGATTGGAAGAACTGGGGGGAATGGAAGGGAGTAAAGGGAATAGGACCAAAACTGTCCAGATGCTGAGGTGTCCCCAAACAGTAGCCGGTTACGTACGTCCGTAAGGTACCGTACTCAATTACGGCAGCCAAGGCGGCACAATCAGCTTATCGGCGATAGACCGATAGCTAAACTACCACGAACTTCGTACTGCTGCGTGCTACTCTTTCCACTTTCTTCGTCCAACGACTGACGATTGTCCTCATTCATCTGTCCCCTTGTGTATTGTGTTGATTGATCTGCAAGGGTGAGTTTCGTATCGTTCTGCACAGCGCTGCCCTTGTCATGCTTTCACAAGCCGCTACCCGACTCTGCTGCAGAGCTCGGGGACCAGCAACAAGAGCTCCTCGGGCAATTCGAAGCTATCACAACGTCGCACCAAACAAATTCTTAAAAGTATCTGAGGAGATTTGTGATGCGGTGGCTACAGGAAAGCCAGTAGTGGCACTAGAATCTACGATCTATACCCACGGTATGTCTGAGCCATCATAGCTATGAGTAGCAAGCGAGGCTAATACCACTGGTAGGCTTTCCATACCCCGAGAGTGTCGCTCTCGCCTCTTTGCTTGAATCCGTCGTTCGAGTCAATGGGGGAATTCCCGCCACAATCGGCATCCTCAATGGGGTTGCTAGGGTTGGCCTTAGTGACGAAGAGCTCGTTGAGCTAGCATCGACCGCAGAGAGAAAGGATGCCTTGAAGGTTTCGCGTAGAGACCTTGGCTATATATGCGGTCTAGTACGATGACTCCGAATATGGGAGTCTCAATTACTTGACTGACGTTTTTCAGGGAATAGCTGGTAGACGACTCCATGGAGGAACAACCGTTTCGGGAACAATGGTGCTTGCTCACTTAGCGGGTATCAAGGTGTTCGGGACAGGTGGTCTCGGTGTGTATACCCCTTTGCTATGGTTTGCGTAGGCTGACTGATCTAGGTGGTGTTCACCGTGGCGGGGAGTCGTCCATGGATATCTCGGGTACGTAAGCCAATCTCACCTGCCGGTACGATCTCTAGCTGACCTCAGCGCGATGCAGCCGATTTGACTGAGCTGGGACGGACGCCTGTTGCTGTTGTCAGTTCCGGATGCAAGAGCTTCCTGGATATCCCGCGGACACTTGAGTTTCTAGAAACCGAGGGAGTCTGTGTTGGGACATTTGCCGATGGCCGTGAAGGCTCTGTGGACTTCCCTGCCTTTTTCTCACGCGAGAGTGGGATCAAGAGTCCCAGAGTAATCCGAGATGAAGCGGAAGCGGCTGCAATCATATGTAAGGCAGCCATGGCTTTTTTCACTCAATTGCGCTATCCTACTGACACAAAACAGACGCGCAATCGAAGCTTCCTGTAAAGTCTGGTATCCATTTTGCCAATCCAGTGCCAGCGGAGCAGTCGATTCCCAAAGGCGAAATGGACACAATAATAGAAGAGGCGATCCGCTTGGCTGAAGTCGAAGGCTACCGAGGAAGCGATAACACACCTTTTGTGCTTGGGAAAATCAAGGAGCTTAGTGGTGGAAAGAGTGTGATTGCCAACAGGGCGCTGGTCGAGGCCAACGTGAAGCGCGCAACCAAGGTGGCGGTTGAACTCGCCAAATTAGAGCAGGCTGATAGAGGGTCTGAAGGCCGGTGAGTTTGCCCATTTTGATGGGTTTTGTGATGATAGATTACTGCGAATCTTGGAATGTCCCTAATGTTGCAGACACATGCCAGTAGTCTCCGAGAACGCAAGAGCTGACCAAGCAACTTCAGAGGCCGGGGTGAACCATAAACCCCTAACTACGAGTACAATTGAACAACTGAATGAGGCAGACGTCCTTGTTGCTGGCTCTCTTGCGATCGACTTGTCCTGCGATTATACCCCCTTTGCTAGCGAGAGCGACAAGATCACACCCGTTCCTCAAACATCAAATCCCGCCATCATCGGGCAGAGCCTGGGCGGAGTAGGCCACAACGTTGCCATTGCGTCACATTATCTTGGAAGTTCTGTCCTATTCTGCAGTGTAGTCGGGGATGACCTGAGTGGCCGTGCTGCGCTCTCCACGCTCAAGGAGGAGGGGCTCCCCACCGCCGGCGTACAGATTCTGCCTACCTCGTCTGGAGCGCGCACGGCACAATATGTCGCCATTAATGACGCGAAGCGGGACCTCGTAGTGGCTATGGCTGACATGGGCATCATGGAGCTGCCGGAGCACGTGCTTGATTTTGACGAGTTCTGGGAGCCGCTGATCCGCCGCACTCAGCCGCAGTGGGTGGTCGTGGATGCGAACTGGAGTCCGGCGGTTCTTGCGAGATGGGTTGCCGTTGCTAAGCAGCACGGCGCGCGGGTCGCCTTTGAGCCGGTCTCCACGGCGAAGTCTCGCCGTCTGTTTTCCAAGACCTCCGAGGCGGATGCAGCAATTGGACCGGGCGGGGCGATCCCCAACAATGCCATCAGTCTGGCCGCTCCTAATCAGTACGAGCTCACGGCCATGTACACGACAGCCCGCGAATCAGGGTTGTTCGAGTCCGAGGGCTGGTGGCGCATCATCGACGCCATGGGAATGTCCGCGTCTGGCTCGCGAGACCGCCTCGTCGCAATGACGACTGCGGAGCTGGTGGATCAGGGGATTCCACAGCAGAGCATCCAGCTACTTCCCTTTATTCCGTGCATTATCGCGAAATTGGGCGCTCAGGGGGTTCTGGTGACCCAACTGCTTCGTCCGGGAGATGCTCGTCTCGCATCTCCTGATTCGGCACCGTATATCCTCTCTCGCGCCTCGCCTACAGATGAGCTGATCGGGGGTGTGTATATGAGACTTTTCCCATCGGCCGGCGTCCTGGCGGATGGCGAGATTGTGAGTGTCAACGGTGCGGGGGACACGTTACTGGGCGCGGTTATTGCCGGGCTTGCAAAGGGACCAGGGAAATCGGTCGAGGAGGTCATTCCTCTGGCGCAGGAGGCTAGTCTGAGGACATTGAAAAGTCCTGGGGGTGTGAGCAGGGATCTTGTTACTCTGCGATCATTGATGGACGCCTTACAACAGTCATGCGCAGATACTCAATATAGATGATTCATTCCGAGCCTTGACTCGGGCCCGATTGTATTTCTCGACGGTCTAATCAGTACTACTGTACTACTCCTACCCATTCAGGATCCTCTCCACCCCTTCCGCTCCAACAACTGGCAATATTTCCACATCCTGCCTGCCCTCCCTCGTCTTTCCCGTCGCGCGGAAACTCCCCGGCACGAGCGCCGGATCCAACAACCCAATCTGCACCAACACACTCGCCTGATCCCAGTACATATTCTGCCGGGAGAGCTTCCCCGCGCGGAAACTGGCCGTCATCACGAGGACAATCTTCACATCGCGGTCCGTGGGCGGTACCCGCGGGAGCAACCAGGGTATCTCCTCGGTATGCCGGAACGCCAGCAGGATCTCGTCGACGATGCGGTCCGGACCGACGGTGCGAGAAAGCAAGCGGATCTGCTGTGATCTGGGGCCGGTAGGGAAGAATGCTTCCGCGTAGAAGGTTGAAATCGACTGCCTGTCGCTTCCTGTCGTCGACAGTAAGCAATTGACACTGGAATTCTGCATATCGGGTGAAATCAGAAGGCGTCATTACATACCCCCAACCATAGTCGGAACGCAATTCACCAGCGGCGTCTCATCAATCTGCCTGTCTAGGCTACTCGGATCGCCACTACCGATCATTATCTTCGTGATCTTGGCGGCGTGTTGCTCCGCGCCCGGGTTACGGCCCGCATCGAAAAGCAGATTCCGCCAGTACTCTTCCCAGATCGTCTCGACGTCGGGCGTCTTCCAGCTCCCGCCGGGCCAGCCGAACCCGCGCTTGAGACAATCCAGCGCGCGGCTCCAGGCGAGGCGGGAGCTGAGCCGGTCGTAGGTCGGGCTCGGGTGCTCTGCGAAGCCAGGCTCGGACTCGGGGTAGAAGAAGAGGTGGCATCTATGTCGCTTTCTGCTTGGGTGGGCGCTGTAGTCGTCCCAGAAGGAGGGATTTTGGTGCCCTGCTAGCTGGATCTGGATGGGGAGGAGGGAGAGGGAGGCGTAGCAGGAGGAGGTGGATGTTGAGGTGGTGGAGGGGGGAAGCAGACATGCCGGCGATTTGCTTTCTCCCTTGCAGGTTTTGTCAAGTGGTCCGCGCGGGTAGTAGGCGACTAGAGCGCACATTCTGGGAAGAGGGTTGGTGGCTGTTGTGGACTGGTGGTGTGATGCGAGGAGCAGGAAAGCCGGCCGGTGATATGCTGTTTTCAGTAGCATTAGCAATGGGCTCTACCCTAGGCAAGAGGATACAGATCCTTCATACCAACGACGGCGTATCTCTCCCCGGGCTCGAGATCATCCTCCCTCCCGTGCAGCAGGTGCTCCAGGTCCTTGCGATCTCTCTCGAGATCTTCGTTTCCGCCTGGAAACGGCAAATACTCCACCTCGAACCCTTCGCCTTGGAAGCGCGCAATGATGCTTGGGTCGAAATCATGCGTGTCGGACGTTACATAGAGACGTCGCGGGGGCACGTCCCGTTCATCCTGGCGCATGTCGATGCTGGGGAAATTGGGCGACTGGAGAGGTGTCGCGCTGGAGCCGCTGCTGCGGCGCCGGCGAGAGAGATGCTGGCGCAGTCTATCCATTGCAGCGTATTGCTTGCAGTACTAACTACAGACTGGATTTGCCTTTTCCTTGGGAAATCTCAATGCCGATAATTATAGTGATTTGACCTTTGCAAATTAGCGCTGTACTAGCTGAATGATCCTCAACGTACTCACTGGCTGGTATATATGCCTGGTATATACTGATCTCAACATACTCTAGCTACAATCAATGCATTTTGACAAGCAACATAGGATATGCCGAATGACATAAGACTCTTGGGGTGTCAGTATCGCCATAACTGGTTTGTTTGCATTCCGCCTGTCCTACATAGTGTATACATTCCTCGGCGCCAACACCGCTCTGACGTCGACGATTATTGGCAGCGCAGCACGGTCCAGTCAATGTGTTTTAAACGGGCTACAGTCTCCATCGCATCGAGGCAATGGTGGATCCATTGAACCATATATTTTAACAGGGGTCTCCGTGCGCATCCGCTCGTAGCTCATTGCTGGCGTTATTCTGTAGGGCTGATAGAAAGGTACTGGTTAGCGAATGTGCACGTGAACGAGTCTCGCCAGGCAACAGTTTATAGCTATGTACAATGATCGTCTAGAATACTACTATAAATCTATAATGAAAAGCTCAAAATGTCACCAACCACCTCCGCTGCTCCCTCACCGCATCCAAACACTCCTTCTCATCCCCATCAAGATAACATTCGTACGCTGGCCGCTGCAGACTCTTCCGCGCAACCTCGCAGTCCACCCGGATATCCTCGATCAACGCCTCCAGCGACACATAGTCGTACTCGGGGCGAATATACCCCAGAATCAGCAGCTTCAGCTGCGTCCCGTAGAAGTCAGGCAATTTGTGGAATTTCACCTGGCCCGCTTCTCCCGCGCCTTCGGCCGTTGGCGATGGGGAGGAAAGCGGTGGCATGATGTGGATTTCCTGTAGCAATCGCCTTAGCATACCCTCCATTGTATTTGCATCTCCTCGAAGATGCTCAATAGGCGAGTGAAGACGTACAATGGACTTTGTCTTGTTCTTATAGAACGGGTTATACCCGATACTCAGCACAGCGGGCAGAATCGCCGCTCCTGCATCTGCTGCTGCTGCTGCTGTCGACGAGCCCTCGCCCTCCTGATACTGGAACTTGGCTGGATCAAGCGCAACAACGCCATAGTACACCCCGACCTGGAGATCAGGATAGTCCGCGAGTCCGTCGGCGGGGATATTGGCCGTCGGAATGCCCAGCTATTGACCGTTAGGGCCATGTCACTTCGTATGCAGATGGGGAAGGATCGTAGTTACCTCTTTGCTTCCCCGTCCAAAACCCTTGATCACGGGTCCGGATAGACACACTGGATATGGGTTTTCGGGACCGCTGTCTGGCCCCGCGACGGGATCCCGAGGTCCGTCCGGTCGCATGGCGAGGTTGGCCTGATGGTGTTGTTGTTGTTGTTGTTCGGCTGGGTCGGTTTTGATTTCTTCTCTTCTCTTGGGACTTTTGGGTCTCTCTTGCTGGGAAAGAGGAGTCACAAAGGGGTTAGACTACTTTGTATGACTCGATGGAAACTGGTCGAAAACATGGCGGAAGATGCTCGTATTGCTGCAAGACCCGACGGACGACGCGGGGTAAGATAATGACGGCGATGGTCAAATATTATTGGTTAAATTGGTATCTTACAGTCATATAATTACCTGCGGACGGGAGTCGAGGTAATTATCATATGGCACTGGAAACATCCAGATGCTGTAGAATTGCTACAAGTTCATGGATCTCTTCTTTACAGATTGGAAATAATACATTTGGACTGAAGCTTCGGATAGCTTATTACTAAAGTCGTTGATTTGTTCACCCTCCCCATATGCCAGAGATCTAATCACCGTTGACACCCATCCTCCAGCTAGACTGATAGAGAAAAGGAAGGATAAATATATACTTGAATGCGATGCTCAAGTCATCCGCACGCATCCGGCAGGGGAGAAAAGCCTCCGGTTGCCATACCGGAGAGGCAGAAACAATTATGTTCAAACTGGCCCAGTAAGACATTAGAGCCAGTAGAACCCTTATAAGACAGCTCGACCAGAATCGACAATCGTACACCCAAAGAAGAAAGTTATGTACCAATGCAAAAGCCCTTCAAGGGCAGAACAATGAACAGCATAAATCACAGTCGACCGGGGAGCGAACTTTTAATCCATCCGAGGGTATGAGAGAACCAAATGCACAAGTTGATCAATAACACATTCAAAGCATTCAAAGGACATCCGTGTACGAACCACCAATGAGGCGATTCAGTCATATGCACGGTAAGAACTGTAGTCGGAATCAGTAAACGTCGCGCAGTCAAAATCTTTGGCAACTCACATTCATCACAATAAGCATTGGAATGTCAAATACGTCTCTTTTCACTGTCCAGCAGTAGGCGCATTCGACCTTGCCATCCTTGAAACCTAACTGATTCATCCCTGCCTCGCCGGCAATGCCGCCTTTGCGCAAGTGATTATTCCACCTCTGATTGTCATCAGACTGTGCAAGCTCCATATCCTCCTTAGTCTTGTACTTGAGCAACTTGCATGTGGTCATGACGCTGCCGCGGGAGTCACCAAAGGCCAGTCGAGCAAAGTCCTCGTAAAATTCCACCACACTGTCGTCATCTAACAATTCAGCAAGGAACACAGGGTGCGGGCGTCCAGGAGTGGCATTTTCCAGCGTAGAACTTCGAGGTGTAAAGCTGCCGCGGGATGTGGTGCCGGACTGGGGAACCGATGAGTCTCCGGTGTTGACATTGAGATTCGGTTCCTTGCCCAGCAATACATCCTTCTTCCAGCCGGTGAGGATGCTAAACTCCTTGCCGACCGCCGCAATCTCGCCGGTTCGTCTGCAAACGATGGTTGGCGTCCCGCACGCGTTGATAAAGTCCTCATACTCCCAGAGCGTCCGCTGGAAGCACTTCTCCATGAAGATCAAATCATCCCGGTTGAGCGTCTTGGTCGTGGCAATGAACGACGGGCGGATCGAGGCTAACGCTTTCGCAATTTGCAAGGTCTTTTGCGGGGAAAAGCGCCGTTGGATGAAGGCAGTCAAATTGTGGAAGCGGTTCGTATAGGCATACGGCTCTTTCACGCTCTCATACACAGTCGACGGGTTCCGCTGACGTCGTTTGACTCCAAACTGCAAGCTCTGGTGCTTCAGGCTTGGCGTCGTGATCGCTGGCCGTTGTCCGTTGGCAGCTAAGCCGTTTGACTTATTCACGATTGTATTGCTCAGCGAACTCTCATCATACCCGCTGTTGATATGAGGGCTGGTTGTCGCACTGGGGCTGGAGAAACCGGCCGGTCCGCTCTCGATGGCAAACGCATGTGGCGCCTCGGACTTGGCCATGTGCATCATGCCGCCCTGGGGATAGACGCCGCTAACATTCAGATGCCCTTGATTCGGAGCCTGGCTATTCGGCCATTCGTTCAGCAGCGGATCGTTGCCAAACATGAAAGGTTGCTGGTTCCCAGGACTCTCCCCGAAGCCAGGCGCCCCGGTGATGGGTGTCGTAGAGTATTGCGCGGAGCCACTCCGGCCTATCGATCCTCGCTGGGTGACGGAATCAGTGGGAGAGTCACCAGCACCGGTTGCCATGTGGCCGAGCATCCCAAACTCTAACGCGCCGTAGCGATTCTCAAAGTTCATGCTAGAAAGGTCAAAGTTGAAGAGAGCAGGGTCGCTTGGGTCAAAGAACGGTCCCGCGAAGGGATTCTGACTTTGACTGGTGGCGCCCGATACGGTCGTGTTGGGTGGCTGTGGATTCACCGAGGATGACAAGCTGTTACTTCGAGCCGTCGGAGTAGTCTTCATGTTGAAGGTCGGGGAAACGGGAGTTTGCGAAGGGAAAGAACTTTGTGCGAGGGGGGTATCTTGATAGACACTGTAAGAGTTCGATTGCGGGGTGGGGTAGTAATTGGTCCCCGAATTCTGCTGAGAGGTTGTATTGACCGTATTGGCGCCATTTTGAGACAAGGGCAAATTGGTTCGCATCGCGCTGTTGTAGAAATTCCCCCCGACTCCAGGCATCAACGCTCCATCCGGCGCATCGTGCAGGTATTTAGCCTTCTTGCGTACACCGTCATGGCACGCATCCTGAAGGCCACGTTTAATACAGCGCTGACACGGTCTCTCGTCACCTAAGAGGTAATCGCTCTGTCAGTTGGTTCATTTCCATTGCGGGAGACAGAGTCAATGCGCGCGCGAAGAAGCGAGCAAGAATGATCAAACTCAGAAAAGCAGAAAGGTCACACAAGCGTACCGCAAGTCAAATGCGCCCGTTGACAAGCGAAACAAGCCCTCCTTGCCTTCTTCCTTCGTGGTCTTGACGGATCCTTCGCATTGGCCGATTTTGAGGCATTCTCAGTAGCCCCGTTGGTCTTGTGCTTCGCTTGCTCCGTGTGATCGCCCACGTCTGAGGTATCCTGATCGGCTCCACCATGATCGCCAGCCAGAGCTGGAGCGCTCTCCTTATCCTCCATCTTCATGTCGACATCCGTGTGTCTCAGAGTTAATGGTTGGGGGAGTATTGCCGTGTGCACGTCCACTGCGGCGAGCGAAGGACGTTACGTCAAAAACCGTCGGCTATCGCTTGTTCGCCTCTGGTTCTTCTTTCTCCGGTACCGGGCGAACGTAATTCTTCGATGATAGGCGCACTGAGAACGAAACACTCCTCAGGGTATCCAGATTGAAGGCTGAAACTTTTACGCTTCGCGTTTTACCCCGGATAAACGATGTAGCACATGGGAACCGCTGTCGTCGAAGGTGTAGGGATGTGGATGGGGCGAGCGGCAAACCGACAACCGGAGCAACAGGAAGACCTTGGATACTTGGGACTGTGAACCGAGGCGCAAACCAAGACACGAACCGCGGTCAATACGGTCCAACAATGGGATCTGAAAGGGAAGTATGAACTCGATCACGCGGACGTGATAGAATGATAATAATAATACTGATGACTGTGCGGCGTATGTAGAGAACTGAGACGGGTGGAGCGTTGCAGTAAAGGCTTGCCGGGGCTGCGGGGAAAAGTTGACTTTGGACTTGGGAGGTTCGAGTTGAGTTTCACTTTCAGACGCTGCGGGTAGAATCCATGGAGGACACGTAAAATTGAGGGAAGAGCAGCACTCGTGATAGAATGACCTTGAGAATATAGAGGAGTGGAGAGGAGAGTGGTCAGATGCGAAAAGAGAAAAAAGTAAAAATCGAAAACGTGGGGGGAATAGAAGCACAGAAGATGAACAGGGGAGAGAAATTAGGAAAAATAATAATAGACACAACAGGGAAGAGTCAAATTTCGAGGAATAAGGTAATAACATGTAACTCAAAATACCAATTGGTGATAGTAAGGTAATAGAAATAGAAACCTGGTGGCTTATGTGTCAACCAGGTTAAGTCCACCAACGCGAGTCAAATTAAGGGAGTCGCGTGTCCAGACTCGCAGACAAGAAAGTATAACTGCGGGATTTTGATATAAGTGTGACAAGTGATGCGCCAGTAATATCATAAGCCGGGAAGAATTCATGCAGATAGTTTCAAGTAAGCTATTGTTGTTTCCTGCCTGAGAAATGAGGATAGCCTCTCAGGCAGAAGGTTCTGCTGCTGTTTCAGCCTTACACTCCTTCACATTCTTCGAACTACCCCAGTCTGTGGTAATCAGGAATTGAATATTCGAGTCCTGCAGACATCATCACATCATGCCATGCGGTCCAGAAAGACAGACAGAGACAATTGCCGCATATATGGTACCTGATATGACCTGGAAGATTGATCTCACATGCGTCATGTATATCAATGTCCAGATGAAGCTTGCTTGTGATAATACACAGTATCAACCTGGTGTCAAGCCTCAGGCACCTCCACCATATCTTATCCCACGTGCGTGCTGCTCCATCTAAATCTCAAGATTCGTACCTCTCTATACTCATGATAGACATGTCGTTATCCAATCCTCTACTCCCTTCATGACAACTAGATAAATGAATCCCGACTACATTGTACACCATCAGCGAACACCAACCTCGATGATCATAACAACAAAACGAAGCCCAATCCCAATTTCTATGAGTCATTTTACGTACAGCAAAGCCCTCAAACTCTCCTATATTACGGGCCTACGGCAGGGTAATTCCGGAATGCCACCAAGTTCCCCGTGATCGCCCGACCCTCGACAGCCCGCCCAGTTTGGGGAAATGCCTCGGTAAAGAGACTTTCCTGCATCATACAGGCAGTCATTGCTCTGAATGGGGAAGGCTGAATAGGGGCTATATTTCTGCATCAGACTGTTGTTGCAGGAGATTGATAGTTACCGCCTGCGCCGCGGAGGCTAGGTAATGCGCTGTAAAGGGCCAACGTCTTTAGGTTTGGTCTGGCTTGGCCTGGATTCGACTGCTTGGTAATGACAAGGGTACGTCTGGCCAGGTCAGTCAGGATTAACTATGAGAATACAGCAGCTGGTCCTCTGCTGCATATGGCCGATAGTTCGTCATACTTTGTCGAGTATCTAGATGCTTGTGAGCTTGTCAATGCAGTCGTTTTAGAGAGCCATTCTCTTCGTCCTGTTGATTCTGTGCATTAGGTATATCCTACGTAAATGTATGTCTGCATGGATGCATGCGTCTATGTTTAGATGTACAACCCTTACCGGGTAAAACTTTTAGCATGAAAGCAGCAAGCAATAGCTCGGTGGCAGTATGTCAGGGCACCATGGCAATGCACGCTCGATACGCGGCGACAACAAAGTTGGTGGGCTATCGCGTAGCAAATCGACTCTTCTTTCTGATACGGCTGCCATATCGGAAGAATATGTATCTGTTTTGTAGACCGTAGTCAGCGGAAGATTCTATACCTGAAGCCCAGCAGCATCTTCAGCGTCTGGCAAATGCAGCAGAAATACGGCAGGGTCCACGCAATTGCCGCTATCGCGGCTGAGAGCTGCAAGCTGATGCAAGGAGGACGGAGCATGGATCAAAGCGTAGAAACCTTGGAAAGTCTCTGGCCTTCAAAGTACGAGAAAAATGGGGAAATACTCACGGAAATGGTGACATGGCAAGTGTCAGAAAGGCCAGCAGCGATGTCGCCCAATGATAACCCAGATTATTGTACACTGCATTTCAATCATCAGCAGGGACCGGGGACATAATGAAGCAAAGGCATTGCAGTTCGCAACAACAGGTCAGCTGAGCGGGAGTCTACCACCGGTGACGGTTTAGACTGTTCTTCTGACTTGTTGCTTCGGCTCGACTTCGCGGGCGACCGCAGATGCATAGACAGAAATTTGCAGCCAAATCCAGGAAGAGAATGCTTACTTTGGTTACCGAACAATGGAAAGACCCCACCAAAAGTCGAGCGAGCAAAGCTGTTCGCTGCCAGAGCGCTCGCGGCGTATGTTGGGTAGGCATCAACCAGAAAAGTGAATACACCCGAGTATACGAGGATGGTCCTGTTCGTGCAACAGATAGAATTAGCGTCTATACTCAGCTTATTGGCGCTGCTGCGATTGCAATCATGTCTGAGAGTCAGCCATATTACAAACTTACCCGGCTCCGAAGAACGCACTGCCAATCAGTGGTACAATCCAGTGCACATGAGGATAGATGGTCCAGGCAAACATGAAGAGTCCTATGGTGACTAGCGGACCTCCAAGGATTGCTGCATAAGAAGCAGACAAATATTAGCAAGGTTTGTTCTAGCTCAATATGCGGATAACCAAGTCACCAGGAATATACGCACCTGGAGGAAGCCGCCATTCGGGCTGGAAATCATCTGGTTTCCCAACAGCTTTTTCGTGCTTATTTTCCAGACGAACGTAGACTCGACGCCAGAAAGGATCAGATAGGATGGCAAAGACCATGCCAACAAAGAGACCAAGGAACGACAGACCTTTTTGCCATAGCTCGAAGCCGTATATGTTGCCAAAGACGAGCTGAAAAGCGCCAAAGAAAAGATAGAGGATACCCAGCAAGATGGCAGAGAATATACAGAGATTCAAACACATCGGCTCCAGTGCCAATAGAAGCCACGGCCGGTAAGTGGATCGCAGGACAGTCCGTGCTACCGAGCGGTTCATTCGTTCGATTGGAGCCTTCCATCTGTCGTCTCCCGTTTCTTTGCGCAGCTTTTGTGCCTTGCGCCGGAGGAGTCTGGCCAAGTCGAGTCAGATGAACTAATACTTTTAGATACGATACAGAAGCCTGAAAGCACTCACACTGGGTGGTACGTCTCTGGAACAAACAGGATAATCGAGACCAGGAGGACACCGGACCAGATGAGAAGGACATAAAACGTCCAGCGCCTGAAGATATGATAGGCTTGTTAAAGTAATGCTTTTCGACTAACGGATGGACGAGCTTACCATGTCGTGAACTGGTTAATGAACCCGCCAACCCTGAAGGTAAGTTCCTGTCAGTCCCTGTTGCACAAGGGCGAGCTTCAACAGCGTCAAGGCCCTAGCTGAGAGAATTGGAGGAGAACATACAGCGGGCCCACTTCTGGACCGATGAAAGGGGAAGCCGTGTATAGCATCATGGGGGCACTGAGTTCGTGGCGGTCAAACAAATCGCCCACTGTACCCCCCGCGACGCTGAGAAACGCACTGCCAGCGAGCCCGTTGAAGAAACGGCATACGATCATAGTTTGGATGTTTTGCGCCACGGCACACGGGATCAACCATATCAGAAAGAAGGTAAACGAGACGATGTAAATCCATCTCCGACCATAAAACTATGGCATTTCAGCAGTGGAACGCAGAGCCAGGCAGAGTCGACAAACCTCTGACAATGGCGCCAGAAACAACGGCCCGATTCCTACAACCAGCCTCTGGTCAATTCCGGCAAATCACGCAAGTGAGACTCTGGAGCAGACTTACCCAGCCCCCAGATGAAGAAGGAAAGGCCAAGTGTTGCCACAATTCGAGAACAGTTGAGATCTTTCATCAGCTGCCCGTAGGTGGAAGTATACATGGACGAGGTGCAAGTCCTCGAGGCCGTACTGTCAGTATTGTCTACAGGCCTATTTCGCAGACTTGACACTCACACGCAGAGAGAACCCGACGAGCAGATCACGACAATAAGCCATCGCCGGAACTTGTTCATATTCCGGGGGTTCATCGGGTCATTGTCGTCCCATCCGACAACAAACTCATCACCGTCGGCTGCTTCCCCCGGCTGGTTGGATTTCTCTTCTGCTTCTTCGTCGACAGTATGGCAACTGTATCCATCATTCAGAGACCAGCTGCGCTCAATAGTCGAAGACGTCGTGCGCTGCAGCTTCTGCGGTCGCTCGTTGTTTGTTGCGACGGATGCATTGATGGGAGCAAAAGTTCTATCCAATTCTTCACCCCGTTGTGTCTCTTGTTCTCGAGCTTCTTCCGTGCTTTTCTCGCTTGACGAATCCCCATCGACAGGCGACTCAGCTTTTTCTGTTGTGGGAACAGAGTCGGTCTGCTGAAGGGTCGGCATCCTTATTCACCTAGGCGGAATCGAGAGATGAATGTCTCCATGCAGTGGTGCAAGGTACGATCTCGGTGCTCAACAACAGGACAACTAACGAAGGAACAGATGTCTATCAAAAGCAAGTACACGAAGGTTGAGAGCGCTTCGCTGGAAACTAAAGACGAGCGAGATCTCGAGACAAGGCGTTCGGACAATCCGATAACTGGCACAGATGAAGAAGACGCCACCAGGCGACCGATTTCCTTGTCGAGATGGACTCTACAGCTAGAGCAGACGTTGGGAAAGGAAAAATGAGCAGCTACAGATCAGCATATAAAGGTCAGTGAGGTAAGCAATTCTTAGTAACTATTTTAGTGCCTCTGTTGGCCTGGATTCGGTCTTTCGGGCTTCTGTCCGGCACATCTAGTGATCTAGCGTCATTCGATCACGGTCCCACGGATGATTTCTCAGCATCAGTCACTGGAATCCCATCCCAAGGTATTGATGGTTCAACAGTTTTCCATTGTACTCAAATCCAACCGAGAGAATATCAATTGCTGTATCAATGCTTTGACTATGATGATGATTATGATTATGACATGCTTATACTTTGTGGCTCACTCTTGTTGCATACAGGTCATGCATGTTTTCTGCCACATGGGAAAATTCGCCGAGTTCCACATTCTCAATGCTTGTATAGGATCTTGAATCATTTTGTTTTGGAAGCCTCAAGCCACACAGCCAAGACGACCTGGTTGCTTAGCAAGCTTCATCAAAGGAATACGGCAGCATTGGATGATCCATGTCTCATCCAATGATAAATTTATTGACCAATATTATTTGGAATCTTTCTCTGTAAACTACCACCTGTGAAGGTACCTCGTACTTCACACACATTGAATTGTTGCAAATCCCCAACTGCCTGCATGGAATGGTGTCATTACACACAATCTCTAAATCCTAAAGCTACCTAGCCATAATTCCATACAAACACTAGCCCAAATAATCCCAACAGAATAGCAACTGCAGCTCTGGATGAACCGCAAAAGAACCGATCAGTAGCCGCCTTTTCAGCTCCCAAAAATCAAATCCCCGAAACACCATTAACTCACTTGGAGCAATACACAGAAGCAATCCTGCTGAAAAAGGCAAACCAGCCTCAATTCGAACAGCCAGAAAGGAGAATAAAGAACAAACGAGTCAACTGTACATGAAACAATAGCCATTGCAGAAGACGAAAAGGTATGTAAGACGTTGCTCAGGCCGTCACCTCAGTGGGTTGGCTAGCAGCCTTCCCGCTCGCATTCTCTTCCGCCCACGAGCCCCAGAGCGCACGCTTCCCGCGGATCTTGATAGGACCGCCAACAGAGTTGGTACCCTGCTCAACCTTGACTGCGTCCTTGGTGGCCAGGACCAAAACTTCGAAGAACATCTTGGTGGCATCAGCCTTGCTCGTTCTCTTCTCGGGTAACAGATCCTGGAACTTGACGCTCTTCTTTTGGTCGGCGGCAGACTCGCCCAACGCGTCGCGGAGGATGTGGACGGCGTGTTTGGTACCAACAGAGACCGGGCCGCTATCCACGGGGTGCACAGTCGTATCATCCATCATCTCTTCCATAGGGTGATGCATGCCCTCGTCGTCGCTCAGATGCAGTCCCTGTTCCTCCTCGTCTCCGGGAAACTCAATCTCCGACCGCTGGTGAAGGGTCGAGTCGAGACCAACTCCTTCGTCCACCGGCACGATGGCTTCTTCGTCGCCAAAGTCCAGAGCAGGAGCAGTCGCTGCGGCTACATCCATGTCGGCGATGCCGCTGTCGCGCTTTCTCTTCAATTCACCTGCCTTCTTGATGGCGTCAAATGAAAGTAGATCACGGAGTTCGGGGGCCCAACCACGACCGCGGCCCGCGCCAAGGACATTTGACACAAAGTCGCCATTCTTTTGCATGTTCATCAAGGTAAGAAGAACAGGATCCCGAGGCAAGAACGCTGCCGGTTTCAAGATTCCAGATCGATCTGCCTGTTGTTCTTTAATATGACTGGGCTTGAAGTCGATAGCCTCATCCAGATCCATGACCGGCATCACCTTTCGTCGCTTGGCGCGCTGTGCTTGTTGAACGGTAACGTCATCTTCGTGCTCGCCGTCGGCGTACTCCTCGTCTAGAATTCCTCGTCCTCCCTTCGACAACTTTAGTTCTTCCGCCTCGAGTCTGTTGAGTTCTTCCTCGGAAAGTTCTGTCATTGCGGATTCAGAGTCGCGTTGCTGTCGGCGTTCTTCGGCTTCACGCGTGAGCTCGTCGTCGCCACCGATATCCAAAGAATCATCGAAATTGAAGTGATCCTGGGGGCCATCTTCGCCAAGATCCATCTTATCCAGAGGAGCGTCATCCTCGCCGAGATCCAGCTGCAGGTCAACGTCGTTGAACTTGCCGGCGTCACTGAGGAGGTCGTCTTCGAAGGGACGGGGAGCGGGAGCATCTCGGCCAACTTCCATGCTGAAATCACGGCCAATATGGGTGTCATCATCGTCGCCAAAGTTTAAATCAACCAACGTGTGGTCCTCCAAGCGTGGTGGTTCTTGAGAGACAGATCGTCGGAAGCTACTATCAGGTAGCAGTTGACTTCCAAAGTCCATCGAGTGTCCCTGCCGTTTGCCTTCTGGCTCCAGATTAAGAGTCTGCGATAAAAGCAAAGAGGAGTCCAAGTTCATAAACAAATCAGATTCGGTAAGCACATCAGGTAAAGTGATGCCGCCAGGAGCGACAACGGTAGATGTCAAGTCATTGTTGTTGGTCAAACGGAACGCCTACAGCCACACATATCAGTAAAGCTTGACAAGCATTGAGCGCAAAGAGCAATCAAGCTTACCATCTTAATCTTCATCAAAGCCTCGTTGCAGTCGTCCAAAAGATATCGGGCCTTTCTGCTGTAGATCCGAACCACTCCCAACAACAACTGACCACTCAGTCGCAGGGCCATCGGAGCCTGCCCTTGATCAACAATGGCATTGACACTGCTCTCAATATCCGACTGCAAAATATGAGATTTAGAAAGCTTGCGCTCAAGGTTGGCCGACAACCAGACGCGGGCCAACGGCCCGGTCTTGGACAGCAGAGTCTCGGAATAGAACATTGTCAAACGAGGTATGGATGGAAGGACCAAATGGGAAATGCAATCGAATATCCAAAAAGATGCCCGCCTAGTGCGGGGTGATTTGTTTGGGAGGTCCCTGGCAACGAGGTTGGTGACGCGCGGTATCCGAACAACACGGTCAACACCAGAGGATCGGCGAGTGATTTCCTGCCCCTAAGGCGTCCAAAGAGACAAGGAAAAGAGCTGAACACAGAACAGCAACTGATCCAGTCGAGTAGTAAATCAATAATCGCATGCACTGCGATACAAAATCAATCCCAACAAGGTGGGTACAGAAGGGGGAAAAACAAGGAGGAAGGGTGGTTGGGTGTGGTGCGATGGGAAACAAGAGAGAAAGAGTTGCGAAAGGCGCGTCTGGCGGGCGGCGGGTGGAAGGCAGGTACCTTAATGGGGAGCCTGAGGTTTGCCCAGCCTCCTCAGTCCTCCCAGAAGTTCTCGTCCCAGCAACGGGAGCACGGGACTATGACAGCACAACGAGAGAGCACAGGCGTTGATTGGCTTAACGGTGCGAGGTTTCAGTCACGTGTATATCATACCTTACGTAATGGTATGAAGATCAGTTGTGCATAACTTGAAGCTATTCCGGATGCGGGCGTATAGGGAATAATATTGATCCGCTGTACTAGACCAGATCAAAGCTAATCACGTGATTATTGACATGGCCCCAGCAAGAACGGATAGGGAGGTATTCTACAAGACAGATACGGAATAAGCAGTGCTGTATTACGGATCAAGCTTGCATTCCTGGATATTCCGGGGCTATTAATCTGTTTCAGTTGTTTTCACCTTGATATAAGTCTAATGTACGCCCATGATTGACTACGCCCATGACCTATCTAACTCCTCAGCTACGTACTAACCAATGACTCGGTGTCCAGACCTTCTGCACGGCCCGTCTTGTTTCAACTTAGTCCCCTCCCATCTTGATACCGCACTCCGCCGCGCGTCTGAGAACGTGGCTTTTGCATACTCTCCAGCCCTATCGGACGGAGCATCAGAAGAAATTTGGCAAATTCCAAACTGCGCTTCTTTCTCCCAATTTTGTCCTTTGATAACGGGATGATAAGGATTACGAACCCGGTTTGAATGTTCCCTTGTTCTGACAGAGCATGAGAGATGTCAAGGTCCGCAACGCCTGCGCTACCTTTGCATAATGCCCAGGCTTCGAGACCATCATCGACAGCCCCTATAACAGGCGTGCGGTCACCATCAGTAAGTGTTATTGTGTTTGGAAAGACTTCTGATAACCCACTCACAAATGAATGGGGCCTTGTCCAATGGATCGAATTCTGACTTGAGCTGTTTGATAGACGTCCACGTCAACGTACTCCCTATTAGGTCCTGAAGAAACCGCGGAGCGCCTACAGACATCTCTCCTTCACGGACTTACTCCGGCAGAGGCAGAGATACGATTATTGCGAGATGGACCAAATGAATTGCCGCATGAAGAACCCGAGCCCTTGTGGCTTCGGTTTGTCAAGCAGTTCAAGGAGACACTAATCCTTCTCCTGTTGGCGTCCGCGGCCATCTCATTCTTTATGGGCAATTACGATGACGCCGTCAGCATTACCCTCGCTGTGACTATTGTGGTGACCGTCGGATTCGTTCAGGAGTACAGGTCCGAAAAGTCCTTGGAGGCATTGAATCGTCTCGTGCCCCATCATGCACACCTCATCCGCGACATTCCCCCTTCGAGCGCTCCTCTTATGAATAACTCTACGGCCGCGATTTTGGGGCCGGATATCGAATTGGAGGACCTTGCGAGCAAGAGCCCCAGCTCGGCATCGGCGGCTATAAAAGCTTCGAGTACTGTTCTGGCCTCCGAACTTGTCCCTGGGGATTTGGTTCTATTTACCACCGGCGACCGCATTCCGGCGGACATACGAATTACTGCAGCTACTGACTTGACCATTGACGAGTCGAACTTGACTGGCGAGAACGAGCCTGTGGCCAAATACCCCGAGGCACTTCGCAGCACCAAGGCCGCAGTCTCCCACTCTCCCAAAATCGTTAGTCCCCCTCGGTCACCGTTCTATGACGCTCCCGCCAGCGGCGCTGTTGGCGCGGATATACGGTTGAATGAACAACATAATATTGCATTCATGGGGACGTTGGTGCGGTCGGGGTACGGCCAGGGAATTGTCATTGGGACTGGTGCCAAGACAGAGTTTGGCAGCATTTCGGTGTCACTCCAGGAGATCGAGAGCCCGCGCACGCCACTCCAGCTTTCAATGGATCGTCTGGGCCAGGAGTTGAGCTATATCTCCTTTGGTGTGATTGCGTTGATTGTTGTGATCGGGTTAGTGCAGGGTCGAAAGCTCCTCGAGATGTTCACCATCGGGGTTTCTCTCGCGGTCGCTGCAATTCCGGAAGGACTTCCGATCATTGTGACTGTCACTCTGGCTTTGGGTGTACTGCGGATGGCCAAGCGGGGAGCGATCATGCGAAGGCTACCGAGCGTCGAGACCCTGGGATCAGTGAATGTGGTCTGCAGCGACAAAACAGGCACTCTCACGCTCAATCACATGGCTGTCACCAAGATGTGGCATTTCGACTGCCCGGAACCATTCGAGGTCCATAGTGATATCTCCTCTTTGACTCCGGGCCCCGCTGCCCGAACCGTTCTCCGAATCGGTAATATTGCCAATAATGCCCGACTCTGGCGGGTCAGTGCAAATTCTCCAGCCAGCGCATCTTCAGCAGCAGTGCTCAGTTCCACCGTGGACCGCGCATCTGGGGCTGTGAAGAGCCGATGGGTTGGTCAACCGACCGATGTCGCGATCTTGGACTTGCTAGACACTTTTGGTGAAGATGACCTCCGTGACCGCATCAGCAGGCGTGCGGCTGAAACACCTTTCAGTTCCGAGCGTAAATGGATGGGTGTCATCATTGGCAGTGGGCAGAACGACGCACCATCCTTTGCCGGTGCCAATAACGTTGCCTATATCAAGGGTGCTCTGGAACAAGTCCTGGCACGGTGTGATACCTACCTGACCAAGGATGGTCGTGAGGTCATCTTGGATGAGCCGCGACGCCATACCGTGAGGCAGGCAGCAGAACACATGGCATCTGAGGGGCTGAGAGTGCTGGCGTTCGCTAGCGGAGCAGTCAGAGACACGCCCAGAGGAGGGAGGGTATTTGGCAGCAGATCCGGCACTCCTCTTTCCAGCACTAGTCAGGGTGATGAGGATGATCGATACACTGGACTGGTCTTTGCTGGGCTGGTTGGGATGAACGACCCTCCCCGAAAGGATGTCCACAAGTCCATCAGGCGTCTCATGGCGGGAGGAGTACGAGTCATCATGATCACAGGAGATGCAGAGACGACAGCAGTGGCGATTGCTAAGAAACTCGGAATGCCAGTAAGAGATTCTCCGGGGTCGAGGCCTGTTCTCACCGGTCAGGACCTAGACCGTATGAGTACTGCGGACCTTGCACAGGCTATTTCGACCACCTCAATTTTCGCCCGCACCAGCCCTGAACATAAAATGAAGATCGTGCGCGCTCTGCAGTCTCGGGGGGACGTCGTGGCCATGACTGGCGATGGGGTGAACGATGCACCGGCTTTGAAGAAGGCAGACATCGGCATTGCGATGGGCAAGTTGGGTACCGACGTTGCCAAGGAGGCTGCGGATATGATCCTGACGGACGATGACTTTTCCACCATCTTGCGTGCGATCGAGCAAGGCAAGGGCATATTCTACAACATCCAGAATTTTATTACTTTCCAGCTCAGCACCAGTGTGGCTGCTCTCAGTCTTGTCTTGTTGAGTACCACGTTAGGTTTCAAAAACCCGCTGAACGCCATGCAAATCCTGTGGATCAGTGAGTTGCCCGTGATTGTATGTGGGTTGTATTTGTTTGCTTACTTTTTTCTTAGATATCCTCATGGATGGCCCACCAGCACAGTCCTTGGGTGTTGAGCCCGTCGACCCGTCCATCATGAATCGCCCCCCGCGACCGAGGACGGCCCGGGTTCTTACGAGACCATTGATTCAGCGAGTACTTACGTCGGCCTTCGTGATCATGCTCGGTACATTGGCGATCTATGTCTACGAGATGGGCGACGCCGACGATGTCTCCAACCCCGGGAAGCGCTCCCGCGTGGTGACTGCCCACGACACGACCATGACGTTTACCTGCTTTGTTCTTTTCGATATGTTCAACGCTTTGACTTGTCGCAGCGAGAGCAAATCCGTGCTTCGCGGCGAGCTCTCACTCTTCGGGAACAAGATGTTCAACTATGCGGTTCTGGGCTCCTTGTTCGGGCAGGCTTGTGTAATCTATGTTCCGTTCTTCCAGCGCATTTTTCAGACCGAACCCCTCAATGTCGCCCATCTGTTTAGACTTCTGTGCATTTCAAGCACTGTGTTCTGGGTGGACGAGGGTCGGAAATACCTGAACGCCGTCAAGCGGCGAAGAGCTGTTGGGGTGGGGTACAGTGTCAATGTTTGATATGGGAATGACTGATGGACTGTGCATTCGATAGAAAGGAGGCTGCAGGGGCGGCGTTGTCTTGCTTTTCTTGGTGTGTACTGTGAATCAATGATGAGTCCTTGGCTATTGGACATGCATAAACATATACATAATCTTATACCTTTATGATTCTATTGCTTGTCAAACAACGACTACATAGAATGTCTAGGCGAGTCAAGAGGTTTAAGGAGCATCCAGGTATCTGTCTGTATCGTCAACGTCGCTTTAAAAGCAAAGAGAGAGCGTGGGAATCGGGCGGGAATGATGCAAAAAAAATGACCTACGCAGGATTCGAACCTGCAATCTCTTGATCCGTAGTCAAGCGCCTTACCATTGGGCCAGCAGGCCAGGTTGTTGAAGAGGATGATCAATTTTTGCTACATAATTCAGACAGAGTCGCTCGCTCGCTTGCTCATGCCAGGGAATCTGCATGTGCCTTCTCTGTTGAGTGTGAGTCTACCGCGCAAGTACTCAATGCATTATCCACGCAGGTTATTTAACTC